GAAAGCCCTCTGCTGGGTATTTACCCCCATAACTTGAAAAACCATATCCAAAAAGATATTTGCACACCAATGTTCATAGCAGCATTATTCACAGTGACCAGGACATGGAAACAACCGAAGTGTCTTTCGATAGATTGGATAAAGAAGCTGTGGTACATACATACAATGGAATATTACTCAGCCATAAGAAGAGACAACATGGATAGACCTCGAGATAATCATGCTAAGTGAAATAAGCCAGACAGAAGAAGTTGAAAATCACATATCACTTATATGTGGGATATAAACCTAAAAGCAACAAATGAACAGGACAAACAGTCTCATGAACATGGACAATGGACTAATGGTTACCAGAGGGTGGGGGGAGGTAGGTGGAGTAAAGGGGGTCAAATACATGGTGACAGAAAGAAATCTAACTATGGGAGGTGAACACACAGTGTAAACATATATATGCCTTACTGTTAAAGTGTACAGCTGAAACTTATTGGATTTCATTAACCAATGTCACCACAAAAAGAAAAAAAATATGGTATTATATAAACCTTACTTTAAGTGTATATTTAGTCTTGAGATATGATTTAATGATATGTGCAGTATATGTGCATGTATGTGTATGTAATAAACAAACATATTTGAAGCACGTTTGAATTTTTCCCTACTAAAAAGGTAAACAATCAAAAAGTTTAGAGACCACTGGAATAAGACAAATCAACTTCTGGCCTTAAACAAAAAATCTCTTGGTAACATCTCTTTTTATTAAATAAAATGTTATGTTACATAACATCCACTCACAAGTGATGGTATGGGGAGGAAGTGGTATGTACAGAAAAAAGAAAACTACCACTGGATTTTACATGATAAAAGTACCAATAAAAGGTATGATTATTCACGGATTGTGCATTTGCAAATAAACTACCTGCTAAAATTTAGCTGTAACTACAAAATCAATACTCAAAGGTGCTTTCTCAGTCTCTTAAAGATATGTGCAGAGCAGGGAAAACTGAGATACCTGATGCATGTTCCCAGATGAGGTTAAACAAGAGATGCTTTACCTTGTTTCAGCTCTCCTACAGTAAATAAGTGTCCTTTTTGCAGTCTGTTTAGTACCATGTTATTTGCTTTTTTGTGCTTTTTGTTGGTGAATTTATTGTTGAAAGTGGCTCCCAAGTGTAGTGCTGAAGTGCTCCTAAATGCAAGAAGGCTGTAATGTGCTTTATGGAGAAAATGTGTGTTAGATAAGTTTCATTCAGGCATGAATGATAGTGTTCCTGGCCATGTATTCAATCTTAATGAATCAACAATATATATTAAAAACAAACAATTCAAAAGGTTATATATTGATTGGTTGATGAAAATGTAACCAGAGGCTTGCAGGAACCTAACTCTGTATTTCCCGTAGAAGCGATGATTCAGTATTCACTAATTCTGTGTTTATGGTGACTATATAGAACATAGCTACCAAGAATAACCAGAACTGACTTAGATGTCTGGTCATTTTCATATTAGATTATTTTGCTTTATACTCCATTCCAACATTTAATGTTAGATCATTACATTTCACTTATTAGTTTTTGAATTCAAAGTGCATTGTAACTGAATGAACTATTTATTTCAGACCTTTCATATGAAAGGAGGAATATTGGTTGTAATTTTGTAATTAAACATTACAAAATATTTGTTTCAAAATTGTTCAACTATACTATTTCTGTTCAAAGAGATGCATAGTCACTAATACTGTTTGCATGAGCTGTGATATAAATACATAATAATGTATATTGTACAGCTGACCCTTGAACAACGCTGGGGTTGGGGAACTAATTCCCCTAAAATTTAACTGATAGCTTACTGCGACTGGAAGCCTTACTGATAACATAAAGTTGATTAACGCATATTTTGCATGTTATATGTATTATATACCATACTCTTACAGTGGAGAAAAGAAAATGTGATTAAGAAAATCATAAAGAAAATACACTTACAGTATTGGGAGAAAAAAGAAAACACATATAAGTGGATCTGTGCAGCTCGAGTGAACTGTATTACCAATAGAATGTTTCTTTGCCTTAGTCATATAACACTGATCATGAAAAACGCCATCCCCCTTTACTATTTGAATCAGGGCTTGGTAATTCCCTTTAAAGGCAGGACTATAACCCTCTAACAAGCCAAGTCAGTCAAAGTCACTCGCTTTGCAAAAGGTTCCTTTTAAATGAAATTTGCCTTGCTAGCAGCTCCTACAGGAGCAGACCTATCTAGGTGAGTAAGTCTGGCACAGTGGTTTTCAAGGCAGAAAAACCTAGAGGTAAACCCCAGTCAATTACAGAGAGGCCAACCCTGTACAGGGTTGGGCCAACAGGAGTTTATGGCAGATCAAAGTTGAGAATAAACAAAAGTTAAGGAAGCAGAGAAAGATAGAAGAAAATTATAAGCCACTTGGTAGCCCAACAGAAAGCTTGCACTAAAGCGCAGCTAAAAAACAAAAATGCCAATGAGAACCGTACTCCTGTGGCTGAATACCTTGAAGCTGCTTAACAGCCTTCTATAGTTTGTTTGTTTGTTTGTTTTAATTATCTTGGTCTTCCTGCTATACATATGTTCTGGGAAATTCTGTTTTCTTAATCCTATGACCTACAACCATTGACCATCTCTCCATCCCCACTTGAAGTGATTTATCCCAAACAGAGGTTGGAAAATTGAATTAGAGAATGTAAGAGTCAAGCATCCAGAAGAGTGGGAGGGGTAGCTGTTAGACAATCTAAGGTCTTTTCCAATCCCAAGGTCATGATTCTAAGCTGCGTTCCTATTTATGTTTTCTTCAAGGTAACAGATATCCCCATAAATTTACCATCATCATCAAGTAGTAGTTTCTTTTATAGTGCTAAAGTGATCCTTTCAACAGGTGCGCCCTAGTTCCAACATTCTAAGTTTTCTTGAACACCCTCATTTTAGCTTTATAACTTTACAGATTTCAATGATAATCTTTCTTAAGCTTTACTTCCAGAATGTAGTGTCCTTATTTTTTTAGTACCTTATTCCACGCTCTCTAGCACTGCTAACCCAGTGGCATATTTTACACCATATATATTGTTATCACAACTTTTTTCATCGAGCACTGCACCTTAGATGTCGGTCTCTGTACATAAACATCTCATTTTTTTTGAAAGGCTGGTACATTGTTCCATTACGCAAATGTATCACAATTAATATTTCACCAGTCTTATTAATGGAGTTTGGGTTGTTTCCAATTATTTACCACTACACACAATGCTATGGGTCAACATCTTTTTATATGAGTACCTGTGACTATATGAGAGCCACTAAATTATCACTGGATCATTTTCAGTTGCTATTTTCTGATCTGTTCTGAACTTAGATATGTTTCGCAAGAACGAAGTCTAGAAAGCACTTAAACTCTCCTTCCAGATGCAAAAATAATTAGCAATAAGTAGTTTTCCCACTAAGTATATTGATCAAAGACTCAGAAAATTTTGGTTCTTCTTAGGTGGAGAGATAAGAAACTTGGACCTAAGAAAGTAAGTGTGGCATGATGCTTTTGATAATGCTCACATATAAAGGAATGACTGTGGAAGAAGAACAATTAGAAAAATGGAGAAACTGTCGCTATTTTAGAGGCATCTCTTATTAGCTTGAGACTAGCGTTCCCAAGCCAAGAAAATAATTATTCAAGAATTTTAGCTACCTCAGTTACGAGGTTAAGAAATAATAAAAGCTTAACAAGTGAAGCTTTGAAACTTCAATTTGATTCTTCACTGTTCTCAATATCCGGAAATTCAAAAGTCATGATGTATGTTTTAAAAATATTATATATGCGTTTACACTAAAAAAAAAAGAAGAAGATGATGACGATAAATACGTCATAGTTCCTGCTTTCTTTAAAATCACTCTACCCCCTCAGCCTGGCTAGAGAAAGGAGACCAGAGAGGCGCGGGATCCGCATCCAAGCAGCCACCCTGCCTGCGGGCCCACACCTGAGGTCCGGGGTCTAAGTCGGTAACCGCGGCGCGGGGAGGGCGAGGCCGCCGGGGCCGGGAAGGAGGAGTTTCCCAGGCAGAGCCGGGCGACGAGCGGCCGTCCCTCGAGACTCTCACCTCAGTTCTTCATCCACACTCCTACCGGGCTGTTCGGCCGGGGACACCACAGAGGAAGTCGTTGAGCTCTTGTTCTTCAGGATCCCCTTGATGGGCCGGTGAGAGGCCGTCGAGGCCGCCATTGCCCGCCGCTCCGGCGGTCGGCTCAGTGTCGCTGCTTGGCGTCGGGTCCAGGAAGGAAAGAACTGGGCGCGAGCAGAGACTCGCCAGGCAGCCACTGAGCCCGCTTGGGACTAAAGCGGCCGCACCTGCTGTGTCGGAGATCGCTACTGGCGTCGTTGTCACGAGACAACGACCCTGACGCTCTGGCGTCTAGCTGACGCCGCACGGCTGGTGGCCCTTCGCGCGCCCTTTGCTACCACTTTATCAGCGGCCCGCGGGAGAGATGCCGGCCTAGCGCCGCAGCGCGGGAGGACGCCGACGCCGAAGCCAAGCGGGCCCACC